CAAGGTTTGTTTAAAACACTGCTGCTTCTATCAATATCATGATGAGTATTTCTCATTTTTGTGGCTCTGGCAATATAAGCTACTATATATAAGCTACTACATTCATAAGATGAATAGTAGTGCTCAAAACAATGTGTTTGATTTAATATGACTTTAATAAAGCATGCAAATTTGGCATTAGTCTGAATAATTTGAGGCATTATACAGACAGTCATTTCCATTAATACCATTGAAAATAAATGTATTAAATTGAAAGACGGCACACTCTTTCTATTGTATCCATTATTTATGTATCATTTCAGGAGGCCGAGGCTTTTGCTGCCTACACCAAAGCTCTGTCATACCAACACAAGGGCAATTCAGTACATGCTGAAAAATTGCTCAGAAATCTCTTTGATCATCCACTTTTAAAGGAGGTTTGTTTAATAACTTTTAAATGTAATAACTGGTAAATTTAAAATAGAGGTTTAAGAAAAAATGCCTTAAGGACATTATAATTTTGAGTCACAACTTCGGATAGGTTCTCAATCCTTGATATACATTTTTAGTTGTTGTGTTGTTTGTTTTAAAATTTAGAAATGCAATAAAAACTTGTCATCAAATTCAATGGCACAGGCATCAAGTTTGGTTGAGGATGAAAGTCAGACACAGAATAAAAACCACAGTGGCCTTCAGCTGTTGTACTTGATTCATAAGAATCTGGCATCCATACTTTTGCAAAGGGAGCAGCTGCGAGAAGCTATGGCTGCTTACATTGAGGTAATAATTTGTTGAGATAATGTAATCCATTATATCATGTCATGAAAACAGTGGTTGATATTTTAGATTTATACTTTAAACAATTCATAAAAGTATAGTATAAGATTTATTTATGTTTAATTGTCTTATCAAGGCCAAATTCTAAATTGAAAAAATAATATCACTTTATAGATTTAAGTGTAAATGCATTATCAACTCATGAGACTGGAAATGCATATTGTTAAATCTGTGAATAGCAAACATTAAAAACGTGCAGCAGAGATTGATTTCTTTAAAAAAAAAAACCTTAAAAAAGAGAAAATCCTGTTAAGCTTGAAATGTCAGAGTGCTTCGTTGGGACACAATTGTGCTTTTCTCTGCAAATTCACTGGTTACACTGCACCATTTGTTTGACCAAAGTTTTGACATGTCATTAAAATAACAATGAATTGATTGCTAAAATTAATTTTTTTTTACTCTTACTGGAAATCATTATGTTTATAACAGGCTGTGAAAATTGATTCCACTGAAGTTACAGTTTGGTTCAAAATGGGGCAAGTTGCTCAAAGAATCAACAACTATCCTTTGGCCAAAATTTGTTTCCAGCAGGTAAACATTTTTAAAAAGCTTAAAAAATACTTGAGTTTGCCTAGCAATTGTTTTGGTTTCAACTGCCAAACTGAACCAAGAAATATCTTGTCCATTTCCCTACAATTAAAGGGATCCAGAGATAGTTCTTAATCTTCACCTGCTAGTTTTTCAAATATAGCAATAGATCAATAATTTATGTCAGATTATTTGTGTTAAAAATCCTGGTGAATGGATGATTTTGACTATACATTGTGATGCTACCATTTAAAGAGTGTGATAATTTTCATCTTTTTCAGGCCTTACAGTGTAACCCAAACCATTGGCCTAGCCGAGATAATGCCATCACTGTCACATATGCTTTGGGAGATTACCTAAGTAAAAATAATGTGTTTTTTTTCCTGTCACGTTATCTGGTAAAAAAATTATGACAGTGGTCTGTAGCTAAGAGCCTTGTATTCTATAGCTTATAATAGTTGCCCATTTATACTCCACACATATTAAAACATTTATTATTACTTATAAATAGTTTTTGCTTGATTATAGTGTGTCTTGAAAACATAAGTATGGCGCTTGAGAAAGACTGCAACTACCCCAAAGGTTTGGCACTGAGGAAACAAATTTTATCAGAACAACCCTCACTGGAAAGTTTGACTAAAGAATTATTCGTTTACTGGTACGTTGGTCAAGAAATTTTTGCTTTTTATTCGTACAATAAGAAATAAAAGCATAAACTTTGGAGGGACAATGGATTTTGAATAATTTTAGATTTAATATAAACTAAGCTTCATGTTCAACTAAATGAAATATTAATTGAATTATTTAGTGGCCTCTATAGCTGGGCTGGGGTAAAAAGATTTGGAAAAATAGATATGACTGATAATAGAGTAATGAATTGAAAAGTTCAACCCTACTTTTTAATTTGAAACTGTCTAGAAAAAAAATCAATGCTCAACTGATACTTGTACAGAGAATGAAAATAAATACTAGTGGTTTTTATTTCTTGATAAAAGTTGGCACAAAGAATTACTTTGCACCTTCCATTGTGTAAACTCTAGTGAAACTGATGAACAAATTCAAATAAAAACTTATCATAGGATTTGTTTACTCTCAGTGACCACAAAATATACACAGCATCTATTGACAAGGCGGAGCAACTTGAGGTATGTCTAAATTTTTCTAAACATTTTTAGTGCCCTGATGGGAATTTAGAGAAAGGAAATAAGTTACATAATCATGGAAGTAATGTTAACAAGACATAAAATCTGATTATTATGTTTTTTCAGTATATCGATGAAGCAGTGAAGATTCGTGCCAAGAGGAGGCAACTTGTCATGGAGGACCAGGAGAATGCCCTGAAGCTTGTGACATTCCTTAAACCGCTGATACCTTTCACGTATGATCTCTGGCTTTAACATTAAAACCACTGATACAATCATCTATGATCTCTGACGTAACATTAAAACTGCTCATACCATTCTCATATGATCTCTGACCATAACATTCTTAAAACCACTTCTACCATTCACTTATGAACTCTGACTGTAACATTTGTAAAACTGCTCTATCATTCATGTAGGATCTGTGACTTTAACTGTTACATGTTGTTATGGTTTTGAAAATTAAATCTGTTATTAGTGTTATAAGATTTGATTTGTAGAATGAACAATACATAAAAAAGGACTGAACACCTGTATACAAAGAAAAACTATACCAAAGCTATTTAGTGATACTAACAATATTTTATTTAATTACACTATTAAATTTCTATAAAAATACAAATTCAAATATACAGAAACAAAGAAACTGTACAGCACAGCAAGGGAAAATGTACTCACCTCAAAAAATACAAATATTTATTTACATACACCTAGATTTCAATATTGCAGTTATATAACATCTCGTATGTGTTAGGAAATATTTTAAAAAATCTCTCCGTGCAGCCTATATATAAGGATCAAATCAGAACTATCTAGTAAAGAAATTCTAGAATTTGCGTCACCTGATAGCATGCTTCAGAACAAATAGAAACACATTTGAATGTAAACAACCTTTCCCCAATTGAGGCTGGGGCGGGTAAGGGATGACACAGCAAATTCACTCCGTGACATCACTGTCAAAGCAAAACAAAGGGGAAGAGAAGTGGTGGTGGCTAAAAAGTAGGCCTACATATTTGCTGTTTCGGTAACATTCTTAAAATTATTGCTACCGTACATGTATGATCCCTGACTGTAACATTTGTAAAACCACAGATACCATTCACATATGTTCCCTGACTGTAACATTTGTAAAACCACAGATACCATTCACATATGATCCTTGACTGTAACATTTGTAAAACCACAGATACCATTCACATATGATCCCAGAGTGTAACATTTGTAAAACCACAGATACCATTCACATATGATCCTTGACTGTAACATTTGTCAAACCACAGATACCATTCACATATGATCCCTGACCGTAACATTTGTAAAACCACAGATACCATTCACATATGATCCTTGACTGTAACATTTGTAAAACCACAGATACCATTCACATATGATCCCTGACTGTAACATTTGTAAAACCACAGATACCATTCAGATATGATCCTTGACTGTAACATTTGTAAAACCACAGATACCATTCACATATGATCCCTGACTGTAACATTTGTAAAACCACAGATACCATTCACATATGATCCTTGACTGTAAATTTGTAAAACCACAGATACCATTCACATATGATCCCTGACTGTAACATTTGTAAAACCACAGATACCATTCACATATGATCCTTGACTGTAACATTTGTAAAACCACAGATACCATTCACATATGATCCCTGACTGTAACATTTGTAAAACCACAGATACCATTCACATATGATCCTTGACTGTAACATTTGTAAAACCACAGACACCATTCACATATGATCCTTGACTGTAACATTTGAAGGGTTCAAGGGACAAACCAGTGATGTCAGATTTTCAAAATGTGTATGTTATCTCCCTTGTGGCTACATTCAATTTAATAGAATAATATGATACATAGGTCCAAATGAAAAAGCAGCGTAGTCAATAAATAAATACGTAGCCATCTATATATTTTTATTCTTTTATTATGAATTCTCAAACTTAAAATTCAATTTTCTCAAAACTCTCAAAACCTGACATCACTGGTTTTTTCCTTGAGCCCTTCATTTGTAAAACCAGATACCATTCACATATGATCCTTGACTGTAACATTTGTAAAACCACAGATACCATTCACATATGATCCCTGACTGTAACATTTGTAAAACCACAGATACCATTCACATATGATCCTTGACTGTAACATTTAACCACTGAAACCTTTCACAATAAAAAAACTCAAAATTTAAAACTTTTCTGTTTTTTTTCCTTGCAGCTGGAAGAATGTTGGGGAGCAGCTGGTTGACTTGTATGACTTTGCTACTTCAAGTGATCCTCCAAAAGTGAGTAGAATATCTGTTACCGGTAGGGATAGTGTTTGGGAACATTCTAAGGTGTTATTGACTTGAAAGCAAAACCAGAAATATTTTAATGTAAAAGAAAAAAATTTAAATTCTTACATTAAAAGTAATTAATGATGCATTTTATTTTCTCTATTAGAGTTTGGCCTTGGAAGTGGATCTGCGTGACTACGCCTTCTTGGATCAATCTGTATTTTTGGGTCAGTTTGACAAGGAGAACAATTTACCGGCTGAAACAAAACAGCATGACACGGGCAAGGAGAAACGCCTTCCCATAAGAAAAGCATCAACAGATTTAACCAGCAAAGAAAACAGCCCCTTCCTGAAGCCTGATGAATCAAGTAGCCTCACACCTCAGTCATTGACCATTGGGGACAATGCCAAAGAAACAGCTTTACTGAGACGTCTCAGAGGACATGAGGATGCTTTAACTCTGGCATTTCAAGATGGTGACTTCAAGAAAAGGTCTACTGACATTCCAGAACATCTTGTTAATGATACCGTCACCCCGGAGCCACTGGCCAGTGATGTAGTTCCAAAAGATTTGGAGTCCATGGATGTGAGTGATACGTTTGAGATGCCTCTCTTAAGAGAAGAAGATATGGACATAGCTGCAATGAATTTGGCAGACATTCAAAAAACAGATTTTAAAGCTGAGTTACTGCTCAAAGACAATGAAGATGATATTTTGGCTCCATCGGATCTTCGATCTCTAGAGAATGTATTGGCCTCGGTTATTGACATGGAGTTTGGCGCAGAACCTGAGATTAAAGACAAATCACAGGTAGCGTCTTCAGTGAGAATGGAATTGGATGATGAGTTGGATACATCTGGGGTCCAAAATTTTGAAGCTGAACAGAATTCAGCAAAACCTGACAGAACTGTTGTGCGAGACAGTGAAGTTGGACAGAAATCAGAGAAGGCTGATACTCTGAGTCTTGTCACTCACAAGCCAGATACCAGTGTTGCCATCCTATCAGAAACTCAGAGTGAGAGTGATGTTGTTTTGTCACAGACACCTTGTACCAGTGGGGATATTTTGTCTTTAGCACCAAGTGTCAGTGGCATTATGTCAACACAGGGCAATCAAGCATGCACATCTGCCGATGTTGAGACGTCATCTGTAGCTCTGCTCCCATCTAACAACCCAGCAGTGATTCACTCAGCTACTCCAACAACTGAAGCATCCTCCCCAATGAATCAGCTTCAAGAACTAACTAAACCCTCAGATCATAATGCAACATCAGGAAGTTGTTATGGAGCTTCTCCTGCTGTGCCTCCATGCTTACAAGAAGACATGTCTTCAGCTCAGCCATCTGTTGAATCCCTTCAACAAACCTCTTCATCACCTGACATGGCTCACACTCCCAGTACCAAACTTTCCCTTCAACAAACCTCTTCATCACCTGACATGGCTCACACTCCCAGTACCAAACTTTCCCTTCAACAAACCTCTTCATCACCTGACAAGACACTCCTGCTCAGCACCAAACTTCCTATAGCCCCGCCTCCAGCTCATTCAGCTCAGTCCATGTTAACTCCTCATGATATTTTAACAGTTTTGTCAAGAAGCCCTAAAAAAGCCCATTCCCATCAAGCACATAACTTTCCAGTTTCAATCTCATTGTCTGATGTAATGTCCCACCAGCATCCTCAAAGTCGTACTCCTCCTCAGGCATTTTCATTGAGCCCCGCCAAGATTCCTCCGCCACCAATAACCCAGCACTTGATGACCTCTTATCCCAGTGGACAATCCTCATCAACATCCCACATTTCTTCCATGCTGATGTCAGGATCTGTAGTGACTGGAGTGAAACCATCACAAGAGCATTCATTACCGCCGTCCACCAGAATTTCAATCATCCCTTCTGAACTATCTCACTCGCCTATCATTACAAGCTTGTTGTCCCCAAATAGCAATACTTCCTGTCCCAAGTCAGCCTCAATGTACCACAGTGTGTTGACAAGCCTGAACCAAAGTAACACAGAGTCAAGTGTGTACCAAACCCCCACCGGAAGCAGAACATTTATTTCCCATGATGCACCAGATTCAAAATGTGATGCCAGGCCATCATCAAAGTCACCAAATAGAAATGAAATATCCCCATGCTCAAAAGGCTCTCCTCGTAGAGCAGCTCACAGTTCCCCTCATGGAGCAGCCCACAGTTCCTCTCATGGAGCTGCCCACAGCTCACCACAACTCTATGACAGACGTATGGATGAGATCTCTCCAAGCAGACCTGCCAAAGACAGTTTTGTGGACAAACCCAAACCACCAAAAGCACACCAACCATCCCAGCCCACTTTGCATCTTCCAAAGCAGCCTTTACCTGCTCACTCCCAGGGATCTGGCCAGCACTCCGTTTGGCCCCCTCCTGGTCAGCTTTCCCTGGTATCCCATCATGGTCAGCATGCCCTGGTGTCCCCACCCAAAGCCCACTCTCACCCCAAGTCTCTACCAGTCTACCACAGAAGTCCATCCCAACCCTTTGTCAGCTCGCTGCTACCTGTTGAATCCCCTGCCTACATGTCCCACGCCATCGATGAGCCTGACCTCTATTTGGAGACACCTCGATCGTTGTCTTTTCCTCTTCACCATATCAACACACTTACAGCACTGGAGGCTGAGATGATTTTAAAATCAACAACAGATAGCCAGACAACAGCCATTGCTGCCGAGCAGACCAGACGAAAACTTGTAGAGAAACATTCTGGATCCCATCGTCATCGATCTCCATCTTTGCTGCGGTCATCATCACTTCCGGGGTACTACAGTCCATCCCTTGATCTTCCAACCTATCTGTCCCCACCACCACTGCCCCCTTCTCCAATCTCACCATTTTTCCCAAGTACCTGTAACCTATCACAAAGTGGGAGGCAGCCAGATTATTCCGCCCTACTTTCCACATCCGTTTCAAATATCTTCCCTCGGTCTACGTTCCCATCTTATCCTCATAGCCATCACCAACAGGAACTTGGTGCCTTGCCCTACACAGGAGCACTTTACTCCAGTATTCTGTCCAGACTTTCCCCTTCTCAGTATTCCCCGAGCAGCAAATTGCCCCCCTCACTCATGCCACCCAAGGCATCAGCTGATTCATCTCATCACCACAGAGCCACCAAAAGTAACTCGCCTTTCACCAAAAGTCAGTCTCATGAGAAATCCCATACACTTCTACATTTACCTTCTGGTAACTCTGGTCACCACCATCCGCGTTCTTCCAAATCTCCATCCCTCAGTTCCCATCACAGTGACACACAGATGCATCAAAGATATGCACCAGCTACGGCACAGCTCCAGAATCTAGCCTGGATATCACAATCATCTTCCCAATCATCAGAAAAACCATTTATTCAAGGTACCAAAATTTGCATGGCCATTTCTTATCCTTTTATAAATGTTATTAATTTTTTTTTACTACTTTTTTTATTATTGTCAACTCTAAATAATACATACCCAGTATGAGTTTTGTGATTTGATCTGCTTTGAAATTATTTTTCAGTTAAAAACTATGGGTCTATTGGCTGTAAATTTTTTGAAACATTTTCACCCGCGATGAGTCTCCATACTTATATTCAGTAACATGCAATGATAGGAGTTGCCATTCAAGAGCTACCTTTTGTAACATTTTATGCAATTGCAAGCATTGCTACAATTTTCAATCTGTTGAATTTATTAGCAGGTGACCACAACTATCAAAAGAGAGGGTTGCTTTCTCAAGTCAAGTTTGATTCACATCAGTCCCCAGCAAGCACAGCTTCAACAAGAACCACCACAAGTCATTCTTTGCCCGCCGCTTCCAAGAAAGCTCAGCATGAATCTACAAGAACATCTGTAGACCCCAGTAGGACACAAGGTGGGGCCAGAATTGGTAATTTAATCCAGTGCTTCTTTAAATTTTGTGTGTACAGACTTATCACTTTATCCACAATACCACTACCCATTTCATGATTATCTTACGATTTTGGCATACAATGTACGATTTTGGGGTGTATAGATTGTATATACTATATGTTTATTTTTTACTATAAATATAACGTATTCAACAATTTTGTGATGATATTGTACGATTTTAAGAGTTGGAGGGTAAACAGGTCTGGATTAAGATTAGTTTTGTATATTTTTACATTTGTAACCAGCAACTGATCGGTGCCAGTGACTAGCACTGATTTAACAGACTACTTCTATTAAAGGTCTTTGTTTGTTCAACATCATCTTATTCATTTAAATCAGCAAATAATTCCATTTTCCTGATGGAAACAAACAATGAGGTAGACATGAAGAGTTACTTGAATGTGTTAATGTTTCAGATCAAATCTTATCTTTCATTTCATCCAGCTTATTGTTTTATGTTTTTATTTCCAACCCAGGAGCCAAACGTGGACCCAAAAGAAAGTTTGAAGATACCGTGCTAGAAGAATGGGATGATGCGTTCAAGAGGAGATCAACTAGAAGCAGAAACTCAAGAACCAGGAAGGAAGAACTCATTGTCAACTATCAAAAACTGATGAAAAATTATTTCCCATCCACTTTGCTGGAATTGGAGAACGATGAGAACTTGGGGAAAAAAGATGAAAACGAAATGGAAATGGATAGATGTGATGGAGAATCTGGCACAAAATGCTTGACTGAGAGCAGGCTTCTCAAAACTCTCACTGAAACAGAGGAGGATGATGTAAAAGGTTATATTAAAACATGTCTCAAAGGTCATGGCATTATAGATTTGATCTATAAATATCTTCTTCTGCTGGCTAATAAATCGGATTGCGTGTGGTACGAAGGAATTTCTGACCTGTACTTAAAACTTTATGAACGTTTACGTCAACACTTCTCAGTCCCGTCATTGTATGATAATGATGAGAGTTTTCCTCTGGAGGGCCTGAAGAACTATGCGGCACTTATCCTGACCTGGGCTGAGCTTTCACTTAACAGAGTGATGCTTGAGAATGGGCTGAAAAATGTCATGTCCCCCACTAAAGCTGGTCAGAGCAATGCCAATTTATTAGGTCTTCTAGGAAAGTTTCACACAGAGGACATGCTATTTCTGTCATCACTGACAGCCAGGAATGATGCCTTGGGTAATTACTTTATTCTTGGAAATATTTGGGTAATTTTTGCTTGGTCTCATTAATTTATTTTTAGTTATGATGTAAAGGAATATTCATCGGGTTTCTGTTGATCTCATTGACAGCGGGAAAGTATTTCATATTAACATATTTTTTAAAAATCTAATGATGTCATCAATTCCGTGTCTAATCAATAAAAACTATTCCATATCAAGATATTGTCTACTTTTCAATTCTGTCTCGTGTCAGGCTCATGGCTGGGTGAATTCAGTCTTCGTTTGTACTGGTTGAAAGCCAAGCAGCACCAGCTTCTCAATGAGACACTTGATGCTGTAGATTGCTTTGAGATTGTACAGGAACTGCTTCAAGATATGGAAAAGGAGAGGGACAGTACCCAAGAAGGTTAGATATTCAGAAGCAGTTGTTACAGATAGGGCTTTTATATGGTGTTCTTTTTATACATTATCAAGTTCAAAATGTTCTGATTGTTAAAGATTTCTTTGATTGGCTATTTTTACATTTCTTTGGTCTTAACTCTTTGATTGGCTAATTTTACATGTCTTTGGTCTTGTGTCTTTGATTGGATACTTTTACATATCTTTGATCTTATGTCTTTGATGAATGTTGGTGATACAAGAAAAGTTCCTTAGTCCTACTGTTAATATTTTTTTTTGGTAATGTTTCTTAATTTCCTATAACTTAAATAAAAAATAAATCAATGATTACCTGGCCAATCTGCAATGCAATTTATAGACAAACATAAAGATAGTGTTGTTGTTTAGTGTTGTTGTTTTCTTTTACAAGACCCCAGTTTATCACTGTCCTCCATATCTCACCCCTAGTTGTAATGGTGCCCAACATTATCGAGGACAAAGTGATCTCACTCGGGGAAGTAAAGAGACTACTAGAAGCCTTACAGAGGTGTAAGTCACTGGAAGATACTCAGAAGCTCTACGAAGAAGGACGTTTTGATCTTGTTGTGGAGAACCTTCTCACCACTTTTAATAACAAGGTGACCCCTAAGACAACCACCTTGTTGCTCTTTCAACTTGAAAAGCATTTAGCACTGTCTCTATTCAACACTCATAGTAGAACCAAAAGTTTAAAAGTTCTGAAGTAATAATACATTGTTATACACACACGCACATCTTGTTGGACGCAAATTATTGAAAATTGAAACCGTTTAGTTTGATACACACGTTTAATGATTTGTTTTCTTATTTCCAAACAGAGTATTACACAGAAATCCATTGCCCAGAGAGAGCGTCCATCCCAACTCCTTCTTTTGCTGAATTCCCTCCACAAACTGAAAGAGAAAGAACGGTGTATGGAGTGGGCACAAGTTTCACTAAATGAAGCTATCCAACATTATAAAAGAGTTCCAACTGTACAGCTTCGCCAGGATTGGGCAGCTACTCTGGTATCAATCTTTGGATTCATTGACAAGTATGTACAGAGGAGATAAAAATAATGGCATCATAATTGTTAATTTACTAATAAAATTTTCAACCCTTTGTCTTGTTGATGTACCATTTTATAGACTCAAATGTTAATGCCACTGAAAGCATAAAATGCTAATGAAGAGGTCAAAAGGTTTTAAAACAAGAGTTTTAAGCAATGGAAATTTTCTTGATTAAATCTCCTCAGGATCATGGAGGAAGACAAGTCTATAATGGCTTCCCTGAGCCGTAAGTCCTTTGTTCGTTTGGCCCACAATTTGGTAGCAGTCATTGAAATTTCTCTTGATGTTGGTGACAGTGTCACAGAGATGCCGATTGGCTCACTCCTGCCTTGGAAGATTTTATACAGGTGACCAGATAATTGATGTGTAATGTTTGATTGGTCCTAGTTAGCTGTCAGTGTTCAGAATTTAACAGAACAATGAGCATAAAGAATCAGGATTAGAAGATGGGAATCATTTCTCATTGAGATTATTTGCTCAAAATATTCAATAATATGTGTTCAAGGGTGTTACAGTTTGAGGAGCAGGAAAATGCTCGCCGCCAGAACACAAACGAATCCAAGGACAATAAAGATGATGATGAAGATGACACAAGCCGATCTTTGACGATGCTTGTTGAGGCCCATGAACATTTGGGAAGGTAAGTGAAGGGGAAGTAACATCAAATTATTCAAATTGTTTCATGCTAAAAAACATCATCTCAGTGATTTGATGAAAGGAAACCTATACATGGAGTTGAAGGCCTGGCTTAAAAATACACACCCCAGTTACATTAGTCTATATTTTGAGATTCAATTATAGTTTTAAGAGGTAAAGTTAACTCAAAAAAAGACTGCTTTAATTTATTCTAATTTTGTCAAACACATCAAACTAAAACAAAACCCTATTTTGAAATATAATATTCATGCAATAATTTAATCAAAGGTTGCCAAATATCCTTATTAAACCATTTAATATACTTTGGGATAAGGCAATCATGAGATGATTTTTACAGGGGCATAGCTTGTGTTAGCCCTGCCTGAAACTGACTAAGATTTGTTTTGCCCCCCCCCCCCTGTAGAAGAAAAAAATGCAGTGCCACCACTCCATATAAAGAAAAGAAATTGCCGCCCGGGGCAGATCTCTCCCCCACACACACACATCACCAATCCCTTTCCTACACCTTTGGATCTTAGATTTTTTTTTGCTATTTGAATAAAACTATTATTTTTACATATTCCAAAAAAATATATATCGTCTGAATTAATATTTCTGTATTCTCTCCAGGCATTCTTGGTGTACTAAAGATGAAGGGGATTTTCTGCTCTTTTTGATGTCTATTCTTCAAAAGGAAATGGAAGATAAAGACAGGGAAGACCTGACATTTGAGCAGTGTGTTTTCTGCTTGTATGGACATCCAAACAAGAAGGGGAAGGCCAGGTCAAGATGATTTTACTATTTTAATAGTAAATAATATTGCATCAGCAAGAACTGGAACAGTTACATCATGTCCATAACAATTTTAATTTAAATAAAGATCTAATAGGATAAAGTTGTTCAATTTTCTGTTTCAGACACTTGAGTGATCACAATGCTGCACCCATAACATTGGACTGGGAGAAAGCTGGCCTTCTATATTTCTACTTTGCTCCAGCACCAGCCCCTGAGTTTGACAGCTACAAGATTAAATCTGTCACATCCGATGTGGAAAACTTGCTGCGCAGAATATATGGTTTAGTTCCAGCTGAACTTAATCCAGGTATGCACTGCTTGTAGAAAACTGTTTTAATGGCATGTTGTGATCATAATTTGAGATTGTGGCTTCAAGGATTAATTTATATAAATATAAATTAAATTTACATAATGTATATATAAGCATATCCCACCTAAAAAGGAAAAGAATGAGAGTGGGTGCAAAACCCACACAAAAACAAAGTGAAGAAGAACGGAAAAGAAGTGAGTGGAAGTATAATTTAAAAACCAAACAGGAAAAAGACATGGCAGCTATGTGAAATTGTGGATTTGGTTTATAACTAGTTTGTTGAAAATGGTTTCAATTATCTGTTCTTCATCATCATCATATCCCTTAGTCCTTGGACTGTTGGGGCACCACAGATGACATGTGAACTATCCTCCTCCATTCCTCTCTGTCTTCTGCACTAGGCACAGCATCGCATAGTTTTAGTCCTTTCCACTCTTTGTAGTTATCTTGCCATCTTCTTCTCCCTCCTCTCATTGTGCCCTGCATGATTTCTTTGGCGAGTCCTTGTTTCCTTGTCCGTGGCCATACCATTCCAGTTTGCGCTTTTTTACAGTCACCAGGAGGCCATTGTACTGCCCATTTGCCTGATGCATCCTTTCTTTCACTTGATCATTGGAGATATGGTCCTTATAGCTGATGCCAAGAATGCTTCTGAAATATCTCATCTCCATCGCCTTTATTTTCATTTTAGGTTCTGCTATTAATGTCCAGGACTCGCAGGCATACAAGAAAATTGAGAGGACTAATGAGCCCATCAGCCTGATTTTGGTGCTGGGGGCTATATTTTTGTTGTTCTGTATTTTCTTGAGCCTCTTTAGTGCTGTTATGGTCTGGGCAATCCTGGACATCAGTTCGGGCTTCAAGCCGTCTTCCAAGACTATTGCTCTTAGGTATTTGAAGTTGCCTACTGTCTCTAATCTTTCCTCCTCAACCTTAATTTCAGTGGCGATGCCTGTGGTGTTATTTGTCATCAGTTTTGTTTTTTCTGCACTGATTTGCATGCCAAAGGATGATGAAGTCTTATTGAGACGCTTTACTAGTTTGGCTAGCTCTTCTTCATTCCCAGCCAGTCCATCTATGTCATCCGCAAGGCGTCGGTTGGTGATTGTTCTTCCACCAATGTTGACTGTCCCTTCATGCGCTTCCAGAGCATCTGACATAATTCTCTCTAAGAAGATGTTGAACAAGGTGGGGGAGAGCACCTTGTCGTACTCCAACCTTGGTCTTGAACCATTCTCTGACGTTGTTGTTTTTGTTGTTCTTATTACTTTCAAATCATATCTTGAAAACAGCTATATGTATTTCAGTTTCTAATTGTAAGACATGAAAAAAAAATTATAGTGTTGAATTTGGTGAATATATTTTTTCTTTTTTGTGAATTTTTGTGATTTCAACTAAAAAAAGTGCATCACATTTGGTTTTTAAAATTTAGAAGAAAGTAAAAAAATTCAATAAGAATTTTCTACTGTGTGTTGCTAATCAATTTTGGTTATTCTAATCAGCCCGCCATGTGTCAGCAATCTCAGACTACATTGAAGGCATCACCGGTGATGTCCCAACTTGTTCTGTTTTAACAATCAGTTCTACAAATGACCCATACAAAATATGTAGCCAGCTGTACTACCTCCTGGGTGATTTCTACTTCAAGAACAAAGAACCAGCCAAAGCGGTCAAGTTCTATCAGTTGGATCTGGTGCTCAACTGCAACAGGCTAGACTCATGGGCGGGGCTTGCACTGGCCAAAATGTACCAGATTGAACAAAAACTTAATTCTGTAAGTTATTGTGTTGGTTGGTTGCTAAGGGCAACAGGCTGGACTCAAGAGTGGGGCTTGTGCTGGTCAATTTTGGTTTGTTGCTAAGGGCTACAGGCTAGAGTCCTGATCAGGGCTTTTGCTGGCCAAAATTCTGTAATAACTATAAGGCTGGTTGGTTGCTCGGGGCAACAGGTTGGACTTATTGGAGAAGTTTACTCTAGCTAAAATGTACCAGATTTTTAAAAAAAACTTAATTCTGTAAGATACTGAGTCACTGTAAAGGTTCGTAGGTTGTTGGAGGCAGGGATGGAAGTTTTGTATATGGTGAGTTGAATATGGCTTGATTTTTTTTTTTTAAATTCTTTTATTTAGGCATAAAGATTTTAATTTTCACTTGCTTTTTCAAACAACACATTTCACTGTTTAATTTTCTCTTTTTTCTTTTGACTAGACGGAGTATAAAATAGAGACTCCCATTCAGAAGAAATCTGCAGCTCCTCTGAGATGCTTTAAAAGAGCTGTTGACCTCCAGAAGACATGTAGGAAACTGTGGCTTGAGTACGGCTCATTGGCTTATCAGCTACATTCACATGCATCAAGGCAGATTATATACAAGGACTTACTATCTATTAGTCAGGATATTACTGAGGTAAATTATTGTTTAAGAAATCAAGCTGATCTACAGGTTAAAAAGCCATTTTAAATTTCGGGGAGTGGGGGGGCTGGGGGTTTTGTTCATCCGCATTTGTTTCAATATGAAAGTTTGGCTACAAGATAATTTGATGACAAAGTCTTATAAAAGATGGACAAACAAGCAGTATTTGTAATAACAATGCTTGCTTCTTTATGGCTAAATGGATTGATTTTGATTATAGGGGGCAAAGAAAAGAAAACAAGATATGCTTGCCCTGGCTAAAAACAACTACTTGCGAGCCATTGACTGTGAAGGGGATGGTACGGAGGATGACTGGCTCACACACTACATGATGGGGAAAATAGCTGAGAAGGAAGGGGACAATCCTCAAATCTACTTGGAGCATTATAAGCAGGTTTGTTCCATAGAAAGTTGACACAAATTCTGCATGAGCAGACTTGGCTCCCTCAACTGTTCAATTTTCCAAAGCTTCCCACCACAAAGTTACAGTATGTCTGTTTTAACCCATTCGATATGTTTCGCTGCAGTGTGCATCACCACGATTTTGGCTGAATACATTTAGTCGCAGATTGCGTCATCTCTGGTTTTGTTTAGTTTCATGCCTTTAGTATTTTAACTTTTACAGTCATATATTTTATTTATAGCTTTCTAAACTTTCATTCAAAAGAGTTTCAATTCCTTTCTTTGAAATTTCTGGCAGATTGTACCTCGTTTAGTGTATTTTTTGCTTGTTTTTTCACCTTTTAAAAATTGTAAATAAGCATCAGCAGATTGTTATGTCTTCAACAAGCTGTACTGGCACTAATATTAGGTCTGTTAGCTCAAGATTTAGATAAGTGCCTGCCGAAGAAGCAAGCCAATTAATTAGCTTGGATCATTCATTGGACTCAAATAAAAACAATGAAGAGGATTTGTTTATATGGTTTGTAAAGTGGGGATTTAACCCTTTCATTACTGCTGGTTTTGGGCATTGATTTTTTCTGACTCAGCAATAAAAAAAACTTAAAAAAGAAATTTTTGGTATTTTTCATTCTCTATCGGATTCCCTTTTTAACTTCTTTATAGATTAACGCATAAATAAATATAAAGCATTGAAATATGACGTCCTTGGCATTTCAGAAAAGTTCTTTGCCTCTTTGTTATGACAACAGTATGACGTCCTTGGTAATTGAAAGTGGGTGATCGTGATGTCACGTCGACGTCATCGGTAGCCAAGTGGTTGAAATTAAAAATCATCAGGTCCAATGGAATTTTAGCCCCTTAACTCTCTGCAGTCCGACTATAGAGAAATGGTACATATAAGTACCATAGATTTTGTGGCTGGGTCATTTATTTTTTAACTTTTTTTTTTATTGAAAAAAAATATTTATTATATTTTAATAATTTGTTTCATTGGTTTAAGTATTTGTAAAAAAATTAAAATTATTACAAAATTTGAAATTACTATTTTAAAAAAATATGTTTGGAAACTTATTCAGCGCGGAGTATCCCTTGAAAGCTTCGCAGATTTCCAAAAAAACAAAAAATATAAGTCTCACAAAAAAAATTAAATAGTAGTATGAATATTGTCAAATGATTTTAATTTCCCGATTTATCAAGGAGTTATTTGTTTGTCTAAAGCAATGTATCCAAATGGAGACTCTAATCATGAAATTTATCACGATTTGCATATAAAAGTACCGACTAATGCTATCGTAAACAAGTAAGCTTAATTTTAATTATCATTTCCCGACTTTAAAATTAATAATAAAACAATAAAGTGATATTTTTATAATTTTAATTGGCTGAAGTATATATTATCCATTTATACTTACATTGATGTATTCTATTTGAATTTTATTAAGTTTCAATAATTATAAAATAAATAAATAGAGTCGCTATGCGAAATAAATATTTTAAAAAAATAGCGGACAATTTCGGTCGATTGGAACTTGCGTAATTAAATAAATTTAAAGTTAAGGACTTCTGAGTTATTAATTAAATATATTTATTTAAAATATGTTACAGCCAAGAATAATCTTCTAAATTTTATAATATTGCATAGTAGAAATGTGTTTAAATTTTATTATCATTATCGCTAGTCACTAGTATTAGTAGAGACTACTGTCGGCAGAATAAAAAAACCAACATTTATGTTTTTATTAAAAGCTCTCTAACTCTATTGGGAAGGAGGAGAGAGAGACAAAAATGCAGATATTGGATCAAGAAGCCCTTATTCCTTATTGATCCTAAATATTAAGCCTGGACTCCACCCTTTTACTGAGTTACAGAGTTACTGGATGGATATCTTTGAAGATTTTACCCTAAAAACAAGTGGTGGTAAGTTTTAATCTAATCACTTGGTAGCAAAATGCATAAAGAATAAACTCACAATATTGTTATAACATATGTTATAATGTATTTTCTATGTACAATGGTTTACTTTTATACTAATTTAGGCACTTGGACTAGGATTAATGGTATTTTCCCTTACTGATAGCATACCATTACTGATACCATTAGTGTTAATTTATTTATGAATCAATCAAATTTTTTTTTTCCACAGGTTCTTTATTGAGTGAATATTCTGTGGTGAAAAATCTTACCTAATCTTATGTAGAAATCAAGTCCAGGACAAGCTTTTATTTATCAAATATAATTATTATAATAAAACTGCAGACTGTTTTAAGAAATAATATTTGTTCAGAGTCCATAAATATAATTAAGGAATAATGTAGTTTATCAGCCTGTGTTATGTGAGGATTATAACAAAGATATATAAAAATGCCGGTACATGGGAAAAAATAGATCACATTAGTGAGGAATGGATTGTATTTGACATTAATATCAAAATTAGCATTATTGTACTGATACATTTTAATTTTTTTTAACTTTAACATCAGCGAATACCGCTATTTTAAAATTAAAAAAAAAAAAATTGACTCTTGTTTTGAGTTATTTATATATTCATCAAATTTTACTTAGTCATCTTTTACTCAAGAATTATTAAGAAATATATTTAATATACAAATCTATAAGCTATGAGACCCATTTTTTAAAATATATTACATACAAAACATAATTTTCATTAAAAGAAAAATTATAGTGCATTTTTTAGGAAAAAAAGACAAAATATAGGTTTTGCTAAAATGTTGACAACTTTTTGATTGTTCAAAGAATTTTTGTCATGTTTGACTATGAATTGTATAAGTTGATGAAGTATTTTATTTAAATAAATTTTAAATCTTTTATAACAAGGATTTTTTTTTTCCTTCATACTGTGTAAAGATTTGGTCAAATTTTTGCATAAAATGAAAAAAAATAATTCTCCAATAATGTTTCAATTATTTTTATAACTAAGAAAATAAAATATACAAAAAATATCTTATGATAGCTGAGTCAAAGATGAACAAGTTAATATATTTAACTGATCAGATCAGAGCTATTTCAGATCAGTTAATTAATTATTTTAAAAATTCACATTAAGATTTTTAAGAAATGTGAAAAAAACGTCAGACTGCAGAGAGTTAATTTTACTATGTTCCATTGAAGAATTGTGACATACTGAATGGGTTAATCTGAGGTACATAGCAAAGCTAAAAGCCAAAATGTTGCATAGTTTTCCTGTTATATCTAAATGAGTTGAAATATGGTTAACACAAAAAATAACATTTAAATATTGAACATTTCACACACTCAAAACTTGACACCATGACTGTTGGATTCAAATAAATAACAAGATATGTTTAGGCTTGGAAAAAAAGACAGAACAATTATTATAGAGAAACAAATAGCATTTGAAAAAACAATGCTTTTTATTATATTTTATTATATTCAACAGGCAGCCATATGTCTACACGAAGAAAAAGCACCATACCCTAAGAAAATCCAGTTTGCCAGCATCCCACCAGACTTAGCTTTGGAGGCCCTGGAAGTTTTCTACCGTACCCATGCATCAGCTTTAAAATTTGTGCTCTATCACTGCAACAATGAACATTTGCCCATATTGTATAGTTATGTAAAAGATTCTCTAGAAAGCCATTTTGCTAGATGTGAGGAGAAGCAGCACAATTTAAAAGACCAGGAGAGGTAAACTGTTTCTAGAAATCTCAATTCAAATTATATTTTATCTATTAATTTTTTAACAAGACTTAAAATTTTGAGTAATTTTGACAGTCATGTTACATACTACTACTATTATTATTAAATCTGTCAGTCTTGTTGAATACTAACTATTATTACTGAATTGGTCAGTCTTGTTGAATACTTACTATTATTATTGAATTTGTCAGTAATTGATCATTTGTGAAGTGCATTATTTTTTTAAACCCTAAAGTTTATACGTCATAATTTTACTATTGGAAAATCATTGTCAGTGATAATCTGAATAATATAGGAATAATGGATATAACTCTGTTAAAGAAGGAAATAGTCATGTAGAAAGGGGGGGAGTTAGTTTAAAGGAATTATATGAGTTATCACTTCATTAGGTGTTTATTTCCATGTTCGTTTTTTTTTTTCATTACGTAGCACCAGTCAAGATTTTTATCATACAGCTGTTACTCCATACAGCTGATCTATTTGACTCTATTATAGTAATTAACAAAAATTTTCATCTCAATGACAGGTTGGAGGTTTCCAACTCTCCAAAGCCCAGCAATGTAGTGTTACCAGGGGGAGATAAACATATCTATCACAAAAACCCAACAGATCACGAGTACTCTCGTCACAAAAGCAGAGGTGATGTACAGTTAGAGGGGAAGGTTACTCAAGATCAACATAAGCACACAACTCAACAGAACAACTTAGAATCTGCATATCAGGGTCAGACAAGTCCTGGTAAAAATCAAGAATATCAGCGTATGGAAACAAAGAAAAACTACTGCGACACAGTTGTCATTAACCTCGACAACAAACAAACAGCAGAAGTTGTTGATTTTGACAGACAAATGTCTGGGTTGGTCAGCAATGCTCAACCTGGCAGCTCAGTACAGAAAGTGACCAGATCTACAACTGAAAGTAGCCTGTGCTTAGAGGGGACTGGAGAAACCAGCCCTGTCACTAGCACAGATAAACAAGAGATATCCAATGAGAATACTTGCAAGGCCAGCTCTTCAGAGGATGTAGATATGAACACTGTGTCTAGTTTTGATGTTGGTGCACCAATCCATGTCACCACCCGAAGTCATATCACCACCCCAATCCATGTCACCACACCATGTATTGCAATGCCTGATCCTATAAAAGATGAAGACATGGACTTAGAAGAAATGGAAGTAAGTGAAACTGATCCAGGCACATTATTTAATCTACAGAAAAGTTATTCTAATTCAAAGGAGATTTTTGGTTCTGAAAACTTTGCAAAAAGTACTAACCTATCACCCAACCTTGGAGTTCCTGAGGTCATTTCAGTTCCTGTGGAAGGTCAGCAAGTATCCTTAAACTGTTCTGGGAATTCAGAGTCAATGCAAATTGAATTTATGGAAACAGATGAAAGCAAGCCTGTGATTGCTGCTAATGAAACTGATCCTACATGTGTCCACAAGAGTGAATCAGCTCCACTCATATCTGCAAGTTCTTACTCAGACCAGGCTAATGCAATGGAGGAATGTACAGAGGTTGTCTGTCATCAAGATGTCACTTCTGCTGACATGGGGCAGAGTAATGTTAAGGAAACTATAGAGCGTGTGTGTCAGCGAGATATCACTTCTGCTACTAACCAACTGTCAGACATGGACCAGGCAGTGAATGTGTCAGACATGGACCAGGCAGTAAATCTGTCTGACATGGACCAGGCAGTAAATGTGTCAGACATGGACCAGACAGTGAAAACTAATGAGACTAGGTTGATAAGGGAAAGGTTGGTGGATGTGATGTCTACCGTTACAAGTGATGATAATGCAAGTGCCCCTGCTATTTCACGAATGGAAAGTGAAGGATTCTCCCCAACCCATGTCGAGGATTATCCAAAAGATCAACGGGATAGAACTAATTCAGGGGAATCATCGGAGTGTAAACAAATGGAAACTAATGCTCTCATCTTCATGAATGATCAAGGTATTTCAACAAAAGGCAAAGTAGAGGGCAGTGATACAGTTGTTAATGTTAAAGACGACAGTTGTTTGAAAGTAGATGCTAGAGAACATAAAACAGTAGAGGGATCCACTCAACAAGCTTATGTTGATGGAGCAGGAGACTTAAAAGACAACAGAGGAAAAAACTGTTCAGTGTTGGAATCGGTTGATGAGAAATGGGAAAGTGAAAGTAAAGAGAAGTCCCTTGCTTTGGCACAATCTGATGGGGTTAACAATCACATGGTGACTGTCAGTGAAACTGCACTTGTGGTGGTGATGGAAACTGACAGCTTAGAGCTCCATGGAGATAGCCCTGAGACCCACCCAGACCCTCCTATGAACGTTCCTTTTCCCAAGGCAGAAGTTCATAAAACTGGAGCTAAAGAAAGCCCAGCAACTGCTGGTAAAGATGATGGTGATGCTCATAATACCATAGAAAACTCAGCAGCTGATGCCACTAATGTGGATGGGGATGCTCTTCCTAAAGACCCATTACTACTTAGAGCTGATATTATCACCAAATGTATACGTGGCCTTGAACTGTGCGCAGAAAGATACAATTCTCATTACAAGTCATTGTATCGATTGGCTGATGTTTACTGCTTCTCTAAGGTCAGTTTTTAATATAATAAAATTATGGTACATAAAAATGTTGGCCAAATATTTTCTCCAAATCCTGTATTAATTTAATTTCCCTACTTATAATAAGAAGCAGTAATGCTTTATTTGATCTTGATGTTTCAAAACTGTGTAGAACCTGAGTAAAGCCCGAGACCTGTTGCTGGGCCGTCCAGATTGGCAGGAGCAAACACACATGCCAGCACCTGGTCTTTTTTCAGAGAGGAAACAAAGCAACTTTTTCCAGGTAAACCTTTCAAGGAATAAACAATTACGGATGACGCACAAATTATTCAGCTAGTCAGTGAAGTTTGAACAATTTTTAATATATATATATATATATATATATATATATATATATATATGTGCAAATAATGTGCTTGCATGCACGTTATTTTTATCCTTATATATACTATATTAATCATTCAGAAATCTTACAAGAAATAAACAATTACAGATGACGCACAAATTATTCAGCTAGTCAGTGAAGTTTGAACAATTTTTAATATATATATATATATATATATATATATATATATATATATGTGCAAATAATGTGCTTGCATGCACGTCATTGTTATCCTTAGAAATCCTATATTAATCATTCAGAAATCTTGTATTAATCATTCAGAAATCTTGTATTAATCATTCAGAAATCTTGTATTAATCATTCAGAAATCTTGTATTAATCATTCAGAAATCAAATATTAATCATTCAGATTTGTCTAATAGATATCCCTGTTAATTATTTAATATATATTGTTTCAGGGTCTCTGGAAAATCCCAATAGAAGATATTGACAGATCGGGTTGCTTTGCATCACATGTCCACCGATCTGTTGTGCTTCTGCTTAAAGTCCTAGCAGAGCTTGGGGACATTGAGATGCTTAAGACAATTCGCATGCATCTTAAGCGGACACCAGACGCAGGAAAGTGAGTGGTTCTATCAATGTGATTTAAGTGACTTGAAATGGGACAGTTCTATATCAGACCTGTTTACTCTTATGATTTTGGCGTACAATGTACGATTTTGAGGTGTATACATTATATATACTGTATGTTTATTTTTTACTATTAAGATAATGTAATGATATTGTACGATTTTAAGAGTTTGGGGGTAAACAGGTCTGCTATATAAACTAATTTAATGCACTGCAGTAGGGGGCATCCACATGGTCATTTACGGATGGCCCCTAATTTGGAATAATGGACTGAGACCTTGACCTTCGATTGAAGGAATTAGTTTAGTGGCAAATCAGCTTGAAAAGTTCATGTTTAGGACTCACGTTATATGTATCTGTTGCTTTTAGGAAGTATTTGAGGGATGCTGAACGTTGGGTACTGGCTGATGAAGCATTTCTCAAGTGTATTGAAGTTGTTCAAAGAGAAATGGATGCGAGTGACAAGTGGACAGAGACTCGGAGAGAAGAGAATTTGACCAGAGTGTATCAAGTGTGGCTGATGGGCAAAGGTTGTGATCACTTGAAAAAAGCATCTGCTGCACTCCTTCGAGCTTTTAGAGTCATGATGAAAGGCAGGGTAAGGACATTGTGTTTTGTCATAATGAAAAAAGACATTGGGGGTTAGTCATAACGCTAAAATAACCTTTAAGTTCATTCAAATTATTATAGATTTCTTCATTGACTATTCTATAATACTTTCAAAGTATTTTGATTATGATTTATATGAAATGTTCATGTTAGCTTAAGATTTATTTTTTATGATAGCAACAATAATAACAATAATTTGTTAAGTTTTTTTATTAGTTCGAACACATGAAAAATATTTTACATAGCAAGTGCATCAGAGTTTCCAGTTAGAAAAATTCAATATCTCTTTATGTTTTGTGACAGGTCAATAGGAATAGGTAAACAGGTAACAGTCTCTCAGAAACACAGATTAAAAGAAATTCAAAGATGTGACATTGCAAGCCTGGAATTTAACTTGTCAAAAAAGGAGAGAAATAAAATAATTTTTTAATAACTCTAAATTCTTTGCTTTCCAGACTGATGTCAATCGTTTAACTGAGGACCAAGCTATCATTTACTGTCAGACCAATCTGTCCAAAGCTCTCACCCCAGTAAGATTATTGATTATTTGAGCTATGCTTTTAATAAGTCTGCTTTACTTCATACATCATTCCGTCTTATCGCAAGGATATTGATTTGAAAATTACACAACTATTTGTGGGTTGTAGTTTTTTGGGGTTTTTTTTACCCATATTTATGTTTTTGTTGTGGTATTCTAAATTTAAATGTAAGAAATGCTTTTTATGATTTACTGTTGACTATTGGAGCAATTTATTTTAGATTTGAATAGTTACTGAATTTTATGTTTTGGGATGTAGACCATAATTCTCTATTAGACTTTTTCCCCTGTTGACAATAAGTATTTTTTGTATTTGTTACCTTTTAATTGATTCCTAAATTATTATTTTTTAATTTGCTACTATCTATTCAGTCAACACAGGTCAACATTGCAAATCAAGGGAAGTCAATGTTGGATAAAGGAAAGTCTGGTCAAGGAGCCCCAGTCATGTCTTTAGAAAAGTCCATTGTCCAAGGCCAGGCCTTTGTAGAACTAACTAGACTTGAGGAGAGAATGGAAACAGAACCACTAGCCACCCAAGACAAGCCAGGACCTCTGAAATCTATAGTACCATTAATCACTAAAGACATGACAGAACCTCTGAAATCTACAGAACCATTTCTCACTCAAGACAAGCCAGGACCTCTGAAATCTACAGTACCATTAATCACTAAAGACATGACAGAACCTCTGAAATCTACAGAACCATTAGCCACTCATGACAATCTAGAAACTCTGAAATCTACAGAACCATTAGCCACTCATGACAAGCCAGGACCTCTGAAAACAGTGAAAATTAAAAACCATGACCATGGATCAACCAACAATCAAAGTGGTAAGTTATTTTCATTTAACATTTAATTTAATTTTTTTATGCGATATAATTTAAAGATCCAATTACAAATTTGTTGATTACACTTTGGGAATAAATCACTTAAGGTCATGTTTAAAGAATTAAATGAAATATAAGAACATGGTATGCTAAACTTGAATTCATAGACAAAAGTATTGCACCTCATTTAAATTAACTTAAATTCAGGCATCTCATTCAACCAAATGGACACAGATCAGCCAACTGAAGACAAGACAGCATCAGAACAACAATCGGCCTTGCCAATCACTGCATCTGACAAAATGCTTTGTGAAAAGTCTGGTAATAGCCCATCCAAAGAAGACACAAATCAACTTCAGTTTGAAAAGGAGAAATCTACCCAAGATATAACTAAGCTCATAACTTCATATACAAGTGTAATACAAAATTCTACAGGTAGTCCATCATTGGGGCTTGAAAAGGCATCATTGGAAGAAAAATCAAGGACCTTGCACACTGAATCTGCAATCCCAGGTACAGCAAAAGAAGAAAATGTCAATACCACCTACAAAACAAAAGAAAATGTAGACAATGCAACAGTAGCACTAGCTGAGAAATCCCCCTTTCCTAAAAAAGATAAAATCACTCAGAGAAACTCAGAAGGAATCTCTTCTGTTTCCACTCTGCCATTCACAGTTATAGTTCATTCAGATGATGATGTTATTGTCATTGAATCTGACTGAGTGTTTTATCACATAAACTTTTTGTATCACAGATGAACTGTTGACACATAATGTACAATAAATGTATTGAAATTAATGATGCTGTATTGGATATAAAATTTTAAAACTATTTAATAGAAATTAAATTAGTTCTTGCTTAAAATTAAATAAAAGAATGTTAATAATGAATTAATTAACTCGTCAAATTGTTATTTTGTGAAGTAAAAGATTCTAAATAGCTAATATTCCGGGTAACCCAAAAAAATGCCTAGCCATCAATATTTTATGACACTCTTATTGTTATTTTGTTTATTATGCACTGCCAAAGAATTCTAGGTACCGGTACAGCAAAAGATGAAAATTTCTGTTTACTTATCAGGACTTTTTTTCATTCCTAAACATCTTGTTCCACTATTTACTGTTTAAAAAAAAATAAGAAAAAAAAATGTAACTTTAAATGGATTAATCAGGTTTAAGCTTCTTAAACATTATTGATCAATATTGATTTGAATATATGAAGTACAGTAAACAATGGATCTAACAGATACACCATTTTTTAACCAGTGCATTTTTTTAATAACAAGGAAATACAAAATCATGCCCAGGACATACAAATGCAAAATTCATCTTTTTTCAAATATATACTTTTAGCAAGTAAAAACATGTTTTCAATGTTCAAACTATTGAAACACTCACTGAAAAATCTGCATTAATCATCTGCAAAACTATAAATAACTTATTTTTTCAATATAAATAAAATCCCTGAAAGAATATTAATGTTTTTTTATAATGCCTGTACATCTGTTGTTTTTTTTTCTTTGAAGGATGTTTTTTAAGTTTATTGCTACAGCTTATTTATAAATAAAATTAAAATAAAATGGCTGCAGCTGAAGTTAATTTTAAACAAAAAAAAACAAGTTTTTGTCATTATTTTTTCATTGGTGAAACAATAAGTTGTTTGGTACATGAAGTCATGAAGCAATAAGTTTTAACTATCAAAAGCAAGGTTCATGTGAAATTTCCATGCATTGGTTGAAGTTTATAGCTTCTGGAAAAGGAAATATTTGCATATTTCATACTTAAATTAATACTTACCCATACCAAATTATAAACATGTTCTTTTAGGTCTTTTGTAAATCATATATTAAAGATCTGTTTGAATGAAGTTTATCCAACTGGTTTTCTGTTTATGAGATGAGATAGTTGCACTGCATTTCTTTTTTTAATACCAGCAGTCCAGAAAACAGATCTCACAGACCAAGGTAAAGCAGTGGTTAAAGATTAGTCGTAACGAACACTTCTGAATTGGTAGTAAAATAGTTCCATTAAAGGAACACATCAGACCTGACAACTTATCATCTGATAACTTTTCAAATGTTTAGAATTTGTTTGATTAAGTCAACAAATCTCTAGACCTATTGTAATACAGAGACTTATTTAAGTACTAGGGCTTAACAGGATGCATTTATTTTTACACTGGCTCCAGGTATTTGGAATAGAAATAATAATAGAAATATTGTCATTCTCTAGGATTATTCAATGTTATTAACCTTTGACACATGACAACATTGCTGAGCATGATATTGATAAATCAAAATGTATGAATCGGATCAACCTAGGGTTCCAAATTTTATTTTTGAAAAAAATTAAAACAAAAATAATGATTTAAATATAACCATTCCATTAGTTTTGCTTCAACAAAAATGTTTACATTTGTCTAGGCCTAATTGAAAAATATTTTTTTGAAATAAAGGACAAGTAGGTCATCATACAGCTGGGGGCAGTTTTCGCAGAGTATTGGGAGCCATTGGTCTTGTAACATACGATGAAAGCAAGACGTCGAGCAATAATGAATATCGCACAGCTGGCCCATAGACGCACAGACAGCCTGACTTCTGGTAGATGACCGAAAACCTCAATCACTTTCGTCCGAAACCGAAAGTTAACTTTTCTGTTTCGGGCGAAAACGAAATTAAACCGAAAGTTAAATTTCCTGTTTCGGCCGAAACTGAAACAAGGCCGAAAGTGATCAAATGGCAACTTTTGGTGTCGAAACCGAAATTCGGTCGGCCTCTAGATAGTGATAGACACTTAACTTTAAAATAAGTTAAGTCAAAATATAGAACTTGTTTTACAGGCAGGAAAAATGCCTGCATTTGATAACTCCATTTAAATCTGAACATTTTTAAAGGGCTGCATCTATAGGTACCAGGGTACCTTTAATCGCAAATAACTATTCGCACCCGGAGTGGCTCCGTACAGATTAAATGGCTTCGGAGCTGCGTGTGACTAATAATAGTATGAGAATTATTTTTTTTAAATTGTTTTTTCTCCTTGTTATTTCATAGATTCATAGTTTTATTCTTTTTAGTTGTTTTTTTAAAATTTTTGCTATGTTAATTTCTCTTAGGACGGGTAGATTTTTTTTCTTTCCTATTTTCTTTTTTAGTTTAAGCCATTTTCGTAGATCATTTTTTTTTAAAAATCTATTAATGAAGATGATTTAGATACATTTATTGTTTTCATTTGGATTTTAGAAAAGTAATAATATTAATTTAATTATTAAAATTAAATCCTTTATTTAAGATTATTTATGTGTATTGTTTAAGTTAAAAGATTTAATCACACAGTACTTTATGAATTAATAGGTATTCTAAATAATGAAAATTGCATTCATAGTGAATTAATTTCAACTATTCCTCTAGAGAGCTTGGCTTAGTCAGAACAAAACCACCAATTTTAAACTTTTTCCTTGGCACTGGGAGTCATACATGCAGACACTGACCGTTTTTTCTGATATCTCGAATCTCGTTTCAACAACTTTTCTCATTTGACTTGACCTAATTCACAAGGTAGTTGCAATGAACATCTTAAAGTTAAAGGATGCCATTGTATAAAGCATGAGAAAGAGACTTATTTTTGGAGGACTAGTCTTCTTTTTTTTTTTACCATATCTGTCTACTGGGTCTAACACACTGGTACATAATTTAAAATTTAATATAAAAAAAAAACCTTAACTGACTTGAGAACATTTTTGTTTGGTTGTTAGTTATTTGAGTTGTGTACTCAAGTAATCCATAAAATAAATTAGGGGCCAGTAAGGAGTAGGCAGCCAATAAACTCATTCAATTAGGTCACATCATTCCTTTGCCATTTGTCTCCTTTTACTTTCTCACATTCCTTGTTGGTACCCATAAAGTAATCCATAAAATAAATTAGGGGCCAGTAAGGAGTAGGCAGCCAATAAACTCATTCAATTAGGTCACATCATTCCTTTGCCATTTGTCTCCTTTTACTTTCTCACATTCCTTGTTGGTACCCATATAGTTAACTATTGTTTCTATCATTTCTTCATTTAAGTACAGATGTAATGATTGAGTGGGAGCAAATATATGTGATCTGTGAAGGGAGTTTGGTTAGAATTTGTTTGATTAAGCAACTAAGTCATGCCACATTGAAAATAAAATACTGATAACCCTAAATAAATAGAGCCATTGAAAAAAATTTAGTACATACAAACCATACACAAACAGAAAGACAAAAATCCACCAAAGTTTATTTTTAAAAAATTTGTTGTGACTTCTGTAGCAAAAAATTAAACATTTTATACCAATTTTGACTTTTACGCAAAATGAATAAAGACAAATTTGTATTGGATTGTATTGTAACTTATTGTACTGTATTTTAAATGAAACTTGGCATACACATTAAGAATAACATTGACATAAAGTTTAAAGAAGCTATTACACAGCAGTTATTGGAAGTGTTACAAATAGCATGTATGTGGGGGTCACATAAATATTCGAGAACTCTTCAGGAGTAGCAAATGTAAAAATGTTATAAACCTTTTCCATTTGGATATACCCGTTATATAAAAAAAAAAGCCTCTTGAATTTTTTAAAGAATATCAATGAAAAGAAGCATGCAATGTTTGAAGGCTGTAGCTAAAATACTTTTCCTCCCAATTCATTTGGCGGAAAAATGAAAAAAAGTATAAAATTGTGTTTTTTTTTAAATTAGAGCGCTGCATGAACGATATAGTATGCATACACCATGTACATATATCATTCATGAATTAAAAAGCAATTAGAAAACTAAGACAGAAAAGATAGAAAAAAAATTAACACACGAACCTAATAAAAAAAATACATAAGGAAAAAAATTCTGAAAAATTTTCCTTTCAGATATTTGTTTAAAAACCATCCATCATTAAGTAGAGAATGTCAATATAAATAAGCATGCAAAGTTTCAATTATGTAGTTCCAAAAATATTCCTCCTGATTCATCAATTGACGACCGTCAGAAAAAAAATTAAAATGCTATATCGATAAAAGCTGAAAAAGACATTGACAAATGCTTATTAAAAAAATTAAAGGTTATTTGAACAACATTGGATGCATACATCATGAACACATTCCACTCGTTAATTAAAAAAAAACAATTTAAGTACATAGCTATAATTGATAGAATATAAATGAATGCATTTTCCCAACAACCCACTAGCCTCGAGCTTAATAAAAATAATAAGATAATAAAAACTTCGGAATTTTGTTTATGAGACATGTAATAAAAAAAAAATTCAATCATTATGTAGAGAATATAATATAAAAAACCTTGCAAATTTTGAAGCATGTGGTAATAATACTTTTCCTCATAATACATTTGACGTCAGAGATAAATGGAAAATCCTAAATGGACCACTTTAAAAAGAGAAAAAAATTCAATTAAGTAATATTAGAAATATAAGAGTCAAATAAAATGAAATTTAAAGCATATCAATGTGAAATTATCATAAAAGATAAGAATTTTCTAGATATTTTTACAAATGTTAAACAATATTATTGAACATGTTAATGTTTTTTAATAAGAAATCAATAGACTCAGTTTAGGAAACAAAAATCTGCCCAAGAAATATAATAAAAATGGTTATTTATATAATTTTGTAAAATAGTTTTCAGCACATTAAAAACATTTACATATTTATAAAAGTAGCTGAAATCTTTCGGAACCAATCATAGCGAATTAGCAGTGAAAATAAATTTACAAGAACAAGTCAAGAATGACAATTATCTCAGCAAGGCCTTTTCAAACCCAGTTGTTGGGTTCAGCTGTCTATGTTCTATATACCGGTATTCACTTTTCTGCGTGTTAACTTGTCCGTTGGTTCACTAGTCCTGTGTTAGTGTTTGGATGTGTTATGGTGAGTTGTGGGTTTACTTGCCTGCGTTCATTTGCGCGGACACAAACCATAAAGTTTATGCAGCATTAACGATCAGAAATCTGCTTAAAGTAAACCTATGCCTATACACCGGTAAGCCGCGGCGACTGCGTTGCTGCCCACAGCCTTACAAAACAGAAACATGGCAAGGCCGTGGAGGCCACGTCGCTCTAGCTATGCCGACGTATTACTTTAGAGTATCAGAGAATGACTTTGGTACCAGTAATCAGCAGGACAGATCAGGGAAACGGCGCATGGGCAAAAAAAGGTGCGAAGCGAGAGACTCGGCTACGTAATAGAATTCCACCAACAACAGAGACTGAGAGAGTGACCAATGTCCAAGCATTGGGTGATGGGTTAAGTGTCCTCATAATGAGCAAATCTGGGAAACGTTTCGAGCGAACCAGGGATATGTTGCGATATGTTAACTAGAAATTTGTGCCACCCACTACCACTAAGTTTAAAAAAAAAAAAAAAAAAAAACTTCAGATCGCCGAAAATGCCGCCCCTCAATATAATTGGATTGACTTTTTCTCGACAATTGTGAGTCATAGTAGGCAAATAAGCTATTTAAATGGTCTGTGGTTGGTCA